CTATATTTCATGTTAGGCATCATACAAGCAAACAACAACAACAATAACAATAACAAGCTTTTATCCCACTACGTGTGTTCGTCTTCATGAATAATCATTTTTCTCTATTATGTTCCTAAAATAGTCAAATTCTCATTTAAATCTAATAAAATATCATATAAGTAGAAAGAGATAAATTTTATCACTTTAGATTTATATTATAATCCACACGCAAAAAGAAAAATAAAATTAAATGTATGAGATACAAATTTTTAAATCAAAATTAAGAAAGGGAAAATTGGTCAACCAATTCTAATTAAAGGGAAAATGGATCAACCAATAAATTATGGAGAATGTGCCTTCATGGTGGTGTTAAAAGCAATTTGGAGATTTGGTGATGATAGTGGTAAATTGAGGGAGATATATAGAAGAGGAAATTAGCTTGAACATGCATATCATCACCCTCTTGATTTAGGGGCTTTCCCAACACACACACACACACACACACACACACACACATATATATATATATATATATATATAGAGAGAGAGAGAGAGAGAGAGAGAGAGAGAGAGAGAGAATGCCTACTTTATCACATAAATTGTTAGTACACTAACTCTTACCACCATTACATCAATGTTACTATAAATGAAATCACAAGTGCTTTATAAATTAATAAACCCCATGTGCCTTTAGAAATAGTAATGTCATTACAACGTAGACCTTTATATGGAGATTTCTAAGGAAATGATAACTTAGAGGGTTATTTAGGTATATATCTAAGGCAAGAAAACTATGATATTGCAGGCTAAACAATCTTCTTATTTCATTAAATTTTGATTTAGCCTTTATCCAATTAGGAAAAGAAAATCAAACAAATACATTAAATTTTATGTCACTTGGCTTAGGATCTATCTTGAGGATATATATGGAGATTATGACAATAAACATCTTTGAATGTTAACCAATTTCAATTAGCTTCTCTTGTAAATGCGACAAACCAATTATGACAGTTACAAGTTAGAAATGTAAAAATCTACTAAAAGCTTCAATACTTAAAATTCATAGGAGAATATATTAGATTTAGGAGTCAGTCAACTAACATATACTAACACTATTCTAAGCACAATAAATTAGGTTTTAGTGATTAGGCATTTAGAAGACATAAAATATATCATTATATATTTTACACAAATGAATTTGATGCCCCTTAAAAAAAACATACAATCTATGAAGAAGATTAAAAATATTAACCCAAAGGGCTTTGGCTTATTTGCTAATTGACCAAAAGTGGTGTCCAAGTGGTACAAAGGAATAGGTTGTTAACTAAATTTGAGCTTTTATATAAAATGCAAGTTGGGCCAAGGTACCTATTGAGTCAAGAGTCAACATACCTTAAAAAGTATCATGTTGCTTTCACCTGGCATGCTTGTGATAAGGTCTAGCCCAAGAGTACCCTGAGGTTTTAAGAAGGAAGTTGATAAATGCAAGAGTAGTATGTGGAATCAAGACCGGTGTTGGGTCCAAGAGTGATAAGTTCTAGATTTGGTGGATGCATGTGAGTGTGATCAATGATAGGTGTCAGGTAGAAGATGCCACATTGCAAGGTGTCAAGAAATGAGAGTTCCTATTGATAAACTAGTAGAAGTTGATCTTATATGTATTTCTTAGTCAGTTAAGTTAGTATATCAATAGACGTTGGATGCATATTTATTAATTAAACTGAGTTGGCAGAATTAACAAGCACTAGATATATGCTTTCCAACATATAGTAGGACTCCACTATCCCATGCTTGTAACTACAACCACATAAATTAACCTCCTTTTAGGGATAAAGAAGTTTTTATATTAACACATTCTTCTTCATGGGCGAGTGAAACCAATCATGCACTTCTCTACAATTACTGATACAACCCCAAAACATATAATCAAGAAAAGTTTTCCTAAACCCAAAATTTCATAAACTTCACAAATGATTGAAAAAAAACACATGCTAGTTTGCTCACAACCTCTCACAACTTCTACATTGATGTGTATAATGAAAATTTTATCTTACACACAAAATATATGTAGTCAACAATGAACCTTACATTTTAAAAAGTATTTCTAAAGATTGAGTTGACACAATAACTATTGATAAGATTTAAGTCTTAATGGAAGTATAAAATGTATGACTTAGTTGTCTTGTTTGTATTGCATTAAATAGCTTCCCAATGAAAAATTCAAATAAACTTAGATACAAAAAAGCTTTGTTTAATTTTAAAAAACAATCTTGAAAGAAGCTTGAATGAGTTTTTAGTGAACGACCTGTTTGCTTCCTAGGGAAATATAGACGTATTGCTTGAAGAGCTTGTCAAGAGAATGAAATATGGAAAAGAAAAAAAAAACTCTCTATAAATATTCAGTCGCTTAAAAAATCATTTAAAATAAATATATTGTTAGGTGTTAAGTTGGTCCATTTTTAGGTTTGTTGTTCCTTAGGGTCTTGTTATCTTTGTAGGTTCATTCATCTATAAATATAATGCGTTGTAATAGTGATTGAGATAGAAGCCAAGAAATGATATTAAAGTTCAATTTTGGCTCTCCCCCTCCCATTTCCCTCTCTCATAGAAGAAGCTCAAGCTTCCTCCCAAATTTATAACAACCAGTATCAAAGTTAGGTGGAAGTGGAGGAAGTTCTTGCTTTCAAGAAAGAGGAGGGAGGGTCGGCAAGATTTGTTCAAGGAAGGAGATGGTAGTTTGGCCATGTGTCCTATGTGTCGTGGACAAGCGAAGGGTTGTCGTAGCCAGGGTCACAAGATTGCACGTGAAACAAGAATCAAGTGCAAAATGATTAGGTTGTGCGGTGAGGGCGTGGGCGCGCGGTGGACTTGTTCGTGCAAGAGTAGGATACTGTGCGAGCAAGATTTGGTCGTGAACGGGATCACACATGTCTCATTAGGAAAACGGGCTCTGTGCAAATGTGCGAGAGGGCTGGTGTAGTCGTGCACAAGATGGAGTGTACACAATACAAGAGTTATTGTTAGCGTTCTCTCACATGAGATCGTTTGCGTGAGGTAGAGTGGATAACTGGCTCCCATTCTCAATTGAGGCTAGGATATGGGCACGTAGACCATTCGCGTGCAGGTCAGAGCGGGAACATAATCAGAAACACGCTAGTTGGAGGCCGCGGGTCATGTAGGAGGGAGTGTCGCGATTGGCCTGGTCGGTGATATGCGGGCTCATATGACTGTTAAGATCGAGCGTGGGGCATGGGCAACCCACAAGGCGTGATGCACTAGCGGATGCGTCGGGGGAGCAGGCGTATGCACACAAGGCACAGGTATAGCGCAAGTACAAGGCGTGAAGCGCTAGGGCAAGTCGTGTGTATATGGGGTTCGCAAGAGGAAGGCTAACCCTGGGCCGATGGGTGTGCCAGGCTCAGAATTGAAAGCAGGTGGAGCTTCATTAATTGTTTTGGAGACAGGAGCAATATACGAGGCCTGATATGTCGACAGATCGGGAGAACTGGAGGATCGAAAGGGAAGGTATTTCTTGGGCTGTTATTTTTGAACATCAAGTGAAGAAGAGGTGGAGCTGGGCTCGGGCTTTGGCAGTAAGAGGCTTGAGAAGTTGACATAGCAGTTCTTGAGGAAGTAGGTGAAGGAGAAGCTAGTGACCGTCTAGTGGAGTTCTTTTCTTGAGTTGTTCTTTATGAACAACATGTGGAGGAGAGGAGACAATCGGCAGGGAAGACATGCATGCATGCTCTTTGTAGACAACATATATCTTTTATTTCTTTTTTCAAGTTTTGTAAATCTAGATCAAGGTAGAGATTGTTTGGTATTGATCCAGTTTTAAGTTAGTTGTTCCTTAGGTTCTTGTTATCTTAATAGGTTCATTCTTCTATTAATATAATATGTTGTAATAATTGAGACAGAAGCCAATAAATAATATTGAAGTTCAGTTTTGGCTCTCCCCCTCCCATCTCCCTCTTTCATCCGAGTAGCTCAAGCTTCCTCCAAGATTCATAACATTTACAAATAAACTTTTCAAATTTTTGTAAATCCAAAATTGCAATAAAAATTTGACGTAACAAAAAACTCTGATAATAACTTCAAAAAGATATGCAATTAAATACTTTGATTTCTCTTATAGAAATAATATGGAAAATGTTGCTTGAAGTAATATGCAATGAAGAAAAGCTGTAATGAAGAAAAGCTGTCAGCAAGAACAAAATGATTTTTCAGTGAATGGTCATTGAGGCGGTTGGAAGTTGTTCTAAATAGTAAAGACTATAGATTGCTTTTCCATTCCTTAAGAACTGATTTGGTTACAATTTTATTTTTGTCAAAGTTTTGAAATAGTGTTTTGATGCATTAGCAAAGTGTTGAAAACCTCAAATAGCCATTAGGAAAAGCTTACGCTTTGTTTGGAGTAGCTTCTACTTTTTTATTTTTGCTTTTAAAAATTAATTTCTATAACCATAGTTTCAAAGGATGTCACTATGTTAAATAGGTTTGAATCAAGTATTAGATACTAACCCTTAGAGTAATATAAATGAAAAATGTAGTAACACATAACACACTATATCCTTAAAATTAGGAGAGCCTAAACTAGCTACTCGTGCATCCTACATATGCAAAAGGAAACTAAATAATTCTTAAGCACGATTAATGATACGATTAGAGAATGACTGGATTCCAATCATTCACTAATAATCTACCCCAAGAATGTTATTCACATGCATAGCTCATACTTTAAATCTCAAATGGATCTCTCAAAATTAGAGGATTTAAATATATATATATATATATATATAAATTTAAATATGATCCAAAAGCTATGATAAAAAGAAATTCTGTCCTATAATTTAATTAAAAACTTTAAAATTTTATGTAGTTACCAGGCTACCACCCTCATAAACCGAATTAACAAAAATCAAAATTACTTCTCTTTTTTTCCCTTCTAGAATCTACCGCGAGATATCATACCGGATTTCCCAAATAATAATAAAAAAAAAGGATATCAGACTGGTGAGTCGACTTGCTGAAAAATTAGTTGCAGCAAAATCCAAATTTTTACGTCTCGCCGTGTTAAAAGCTCCTCTTGCAAATATATCTTCGTAGTTTCATCGATCGCCTTTTCTCATTTCTTCAAACTATTTTTCAATCGTTTTCCATCCGATCGTTTAGGTAATCTTTAATCATCTCTCAACCTTTACTCTTTCGTTTTTGAGACTGGCCTAGGGTTTTTATTTGGTGATAGATTATTATTTTGATTCTGATTTCCCGAATGTATTCGTACTTTTTTTTTCATCAATCTGTTATTCTGTTTATAGAATTGTGTAATCTATTTCCTTCTCGTATAGGATTTATAGCCATGATATCTGTTTTTTTTTATTACTTAAACTTTTACCCATTTTTAGGTTTCTAGGCGGTGAAGATGCAGAGGGGCAGAGGTGGGAGGGATGATTTATTTGGGTTTGGGGGGCTTCCTCTTGGATTTGGTTCATTTAGTGGATTTGGTGGACTTGGGAGACCAGGGGGCCTGATTTCAAGCTTCTTCGGGGGGTCGGACCCCTTTGACGATCCTTTCTTCACTCGTCCCTTTGAGGGCATGATGGGGCATGACCTTTTTGGTCATGGAGGGAATATCTTCGGAGCATCAAGCAATACCACGCATGGTGGATTTCTGCAACACGGGAATTTACCGCCAAACAGATCAAAGGGACCAATAATCAAAGAACTAACTTCAGATGATGAAGAGGGGGAAGACGAACAAAATAATGGTTTAGAGAAGACGACCAACCCCAGAAAACACTTGAGGTCTGACAAGAATCCATATGTTGAGGAGCCTGATGAGGATGTGGAAGGTTTGTGTGTTTGATATGATGCCTGTTAAATAGGCTGATTTGATTCCTGCATGCTTTGAAAATAATTATTGGTGTTTAATAAAAGAAAAAAATTATTGTAGGGAGCAAGAACAAGCAATTGCACATCACCAGTGAGTTTAACAGGGCTAATGCAAAACGCCAACAAAATGGTTCTTTCTTCTTTCAGAGCTCTACCGTCTCCTATGGCGGTCCTAGTGGAACATGTTACACTTCTTCTACCACAAGGAGAGCTGGCGGTGATGGAGTAAGTGAAATGACTGTCTTTGGTGGTTTTTCTTTTATGATTTATGAATAACAGGATGTTTCAGTTATGGATTCTTATGGGACCTTTTACAATGCATGGCTTCAATCTAGGTGGTTATGGAGGAGAGCAAAGAAGCTGACTTGACTAACCGTAAAGCCAGTCACAGGATATCTAGAGGAATGCATGGGAAGGTAGATGTCCATTGGTCTTGAGCATAATTTTTTGTTTTTTACTTACCTCATCCCAACATTAAACTTATTCTTAGGCATAAATGTTGAGAATTTTTACTCTGAATTTGGTGATGTATTGACAATTAACTTGGCATTGATCTTGCAGGGTCATTCAGTTACGAGAAAGCTAAATTCTGATGGGAGGGTAGATACGCTTCAAACTCTGCATAACTTGAATGAAGGTATATATGATGGATAAAGTTTCTTTTGGACTGGCCGTCCTTTGTTTTATGCATTCATGTGGACTGCTCATGTAATTTATATGAATTGGGTGCTAGATGAGCTCGAGAATTTTGAGGAGGATTGGAATGGTAAAGCTAGACAATACTTGCCAAAAGGGAGCTCTGCCCTTGATAATGACAAAATGAGTGAGTGATTATCACAAAACTTATGCATTATAAAACTTTTTCTTGGACTGGATGATCTATTTCTAATAGTTGAATTTCTTTGCTATAGCAAAATGTCTTAATGAGATGCCTGATAGGAAGCTTGGAGAACAATAACTCTTGCATTTTTTATTTTGTCTAGATATATATATTTTTTAATTTATTTTTATTTTGACTAGATATGTTGTTTAAGTTTTTGTCATCCAAATGAATTACCTTGATGTCCTTAATGCTACTTTGTTGGCGCATTTTTTTATGGTTTGTTATAAAATTTTGGGTTAATATACTTACCGATCATTATTTTTTTTAATTTAGCCATAGGACAGTTTGTCAAGACAAATTAATTTTTGATTTAGCCTAATATTAGTGGTTGTATTAGGGAAAGCAAATATAATTTATAGTCCTAATTTGATGAACTTGGAGCTAAAGAAAACTGTCAATTTAGGACTAATTTTATGAAACATAATATTAATTTGTATTAATTCCTTATTGTTTAAAATTTGTATCAGATAAAGCAATGTTAGAGTTCCTAAGATTATATAATTATAAAGATAAATAAATGATAGTACGTTATTAATGAACAGCACATAAGATTGTCTAGTTGAGGGAAGATATTTGATGATCTGAGCAATTGAGTCATGTATTTACAAACAATCTTTTGATTCCGACTCTTAACTTTTTCAAGCCATTCATCTGCGTTGCAGTTGCCTTTAGGGAATATTGCTCCAAAAACGGCCTCTCAAACTTCATCTACATAATTATTGCGCCAGATTTAAAGCTGTTATGATGATGATTTCCTATCAATTGTAAACACCATTATGGAGCTAAAAGGATGATATATCCACTTTACAATCTTCAGGGCACTTCAATCTTCAAAGTCATTTTTTAATGACATGGTGCTAAGCTTTAAATTTTATAGGATCTATTTTTCCATCAAAACTATGAGAATGAACGTTCAGGAATTGCTCTATACCTCTACTATCTCCCCCCTTCACTAGCTTGCACAACTTATGAACCCATTCTTTGTATCATCTTAAAGAGAGCTGTGTTCACCTAGTTCACTTGAACTAATTGTGAAATTAGTACTGCTTAGTGCTTATCTATTTAGGCTTCTACAGTGCCTTGTGTGATTGCAATTGCTTGTTATGCTAGATAAGATGCCTATTGAACTGGATGAATTGCTCGAGTTACTTGAGTAGCCGAATTGACCCGAAAGCTTATGTGACATTTTGTGTTATAACCTTGACAATGACAAAAAAGTTAGGAGTTGGAACTCCAACGCTAGTTGTAGGAGCTCCAACATCCTTGATAGTCTAAACAAGAACTACATGATTATTAGTGGAACATGGATTTGTGGGGACGTATGGCTACCTCAAAAGAAATCCCTTGGTTACCATTAATGTTAGCTGTTGCACCTTGTCTTTTGGAATGTCACAAATATTAAAACAAGTTGTTGTAATTAATTAAATAAATAAAAATTATGAATGTTTAAGTTGTGAGTGCTAGGAAAATTTATCCATTTGGATCAAATGTGTGGTAGATTGCTTGTTTGTTTTGATGTTTTGCTTGTTGGATCAAGCAAAATGGGTACATTGGAATTTAATAGATAATGAGTCGATCATAATCGAGATACTTCAAACCAAGGAGAGTAATGATGATGTGACATAATGATAGGAAATTTTCACAACACACTGAGACACAGGTTTAAATAATTCAATTTTATTACTAGTGTCCATTTTGTTAGGAGGGGGAGATGATTTCTTAAGAAAAGTATACAAATTTTATACATTGGCCCTTCTTCTCCTGCATAGCATCAACTTTCACCAATGTAGTATAATTAGATGTCAGATAAGGAATTAATTGTGGCTTTGATAATCATTCTTTTGGACCATTGCATCTCTATATGATCGTAAGCCGTTGGTTGGGACCGGTGAAAAATTGTTCTTTTTTAATGAACAAACTTCTAACAAGTTAATCTTCATTTGTTATAAAGGCAAATCATGTAATTGAAGATTGTTTCCAAATGAATTGGTGATGGTGAGCAAATTAGATGCCTAATTTGTAGCCATGAAATTTCTATTCAACATATCTTATTAAAATTTGTTTGGATTTATTGAACTGGTTAATCAAAAGAGCCATTGATCAATTGGATTGATGATAATTGGTTTATGTCTTGTTGTCTATGTGTTAGGCACGACCGTGTGTTGAGCTAATCCATGATGATTGATTCATCTGAATGGATCTCTAGAACCAACCAAACACATTTTGTATGATCGGATGAATTTCATTTCTTAGGGCTTATTCAGGTTTGTTTATATTGTGTTTTTTAGTGCCTAGTGTCAAACATGGGCATTCTTGATTTGATCTTCATGAGAGATTGAAGTAAGCATTCTCATTGTTTCCCGTTATTTCAAATTATTTCACCATTATAGATAAATTTTGAAATGAAGAATTGATGGTTATTCATCCGTAATAGCTTTTGTTATGCCGTGGCATTCTTGATGAAAGATGTTGCTTGGTGGAGCTTAAGATTCTGAGAAGATTTATAACTACACGAGTGTTTTTTGGTGAGGATTCTATTGGGGTTGTTTGGTTTGGATTTGAAATGCAACCTTTAAATATTAACTTGTTTTACTTTGATTGCCTTGCCATGAAAGGTTAGAATCAAGCAAGCATACATGTTATCGGTGAGAACTTTTGTATTTCTAAATTCTTGTTGTGTGAATGATTAAACTAATTTCATTTTAGTGCCATGACGACATGGACTATTTGGATGAAATTCTCATGCCAAAGCAACATATACTATCTAATAAATGGACTCACACCTTTGTCTGGATGTCTTGGATGGAATATAAAATGTCAGCCTTCCATTGACTCGGTTAGGAGAGTAGATGTATTAGATCCGGTCTATGTTAAGAAGGTAGAGGTAGAACTAAAAAAACTTGATTAGAAAGTATTAGAAATGATCTTTTTTTATTAGATTTATATGTGAATTTTAACTCTTAATATGACACAATGAAGAAAAAGGATTCATGTAGTCCATCCCACATAGTGGGTAAAGGCTTGATGTTGTTGTTGTTGACAGGATCATTTTTTAACTTCATGAATCATCTTGTTCATCTAGATTATTTTTATTGCTATTTTGTTAAGATAAGAGTCGCCACTATTTTAGCTCTGTCACTAAAATTTTCCCAATTGGGTGTCATTGTTGTTAGACTATTTTGGATAGTCACACATAGAATCATCATAAGAGAGAGTCATCACTTTGGAATACTGTAAGTAGGTTTCTTCATTATGAAGCTATATGTAGTTATGCTCGACCCCATCATTTCTTATTATCTTAGCCTTGGTTGTTGGCTTATTTGGCTTTTATAACTAGTGCATTGGCTATTATTAGATATTCATAGGTTGTTAAATCATTAAGTATCTGAACGGTTCGCTTGCTCCATCTATTTAACAAAATAATTTGATCAAAGAAATATTCTAATAGTTAAAAAAATATTATATTTTATATAAATTTTGTGGTTTGAAAAGATTAAAAATCCTAACTCTTATGGAGCTTTATTTCTTAATATATTCCCTTCTATGCTTTTCTAGAGTCGGGCTAAACTTTGAATGAGTACCTTTCTTGGAGATAGCAGAGGGTCTGATTGGCTAATCTAATTTGTTAAATGCATGTTGATCATTCAAAAGAATTTTGATTATTTGAAGAGTTTTCTAATGTGAAGATATTTGGTTGAGAGACATTTGTTTGAATAATCCAGTCGATTTGCATGTTGAATTGAGATGACTAAATTTATTCTTCTTATGGGGAGTCAATTGTAGTTGTTAAAATAATAGATCATAACATCGATATGATGTTTTTGAGCATTATTAGGTCATTATGTTTTCTTGATGCAAACCTTAAGCTTATCATCAGGCATTGGGTGCTTAAGAATTGCATTATGATCTTGCTGCTCAATCCATTGAAAGATTGATACTTCTTAGAGGAAGTCTGGAGAACCATGTTTGAGTTGAATTCTTGAGTATCTTGAGAAATACTCGGCACAAAAAATCTGAAACTATATTATCCATTGGATGACCAAGATTGATGAGACCCTCATTAATGTTGATAGTTAGGAAACTTGAATTTTTCAGGGGAATATTCATCTAGAATTTTTGTTGTAAAAATTTTGGTTGGCATGTGCTATCAACTGATCTAAATATAACTATCCAGATTGTAACGAGGTTGACAAGAGCTTCTTATTGTTATAGGGAGTTGTTAGGATAGGAAACCCCTTTATGTTGGGAACTATTGTTCGACTTGTCTTTTTTACTATTGGAGAAGTGCTTAGAAACATATTATATGATAATATAACATCACGGAGGTTTAGAAACAAATTTAATTAAATTGCAATTTGGCCAGGTATATTGTATGGAGCCATGTTCTGGGCTTTTAAAAAGTCTATGATTATCAACTTCAGCATAAACAAAATTGAGAATAATAAGATGGATGCGTGCAAAAATTAGAAATGATTATAGTTGAAGGATGACAGAAGAACCATCTGCTAAAGATTAAGATAGTGGAAAATAAAAAAGGATCACGGGAAAGGATTTTTTTTAAGGTGGGGATTTGTGTATAATAGGGTTAACACCTAACATCATTAAATTTTAACAACTTGAGAATGACTATTCATAGAGCCTACCTGAAATAATTTGGTTAAGTTTAATGATGATGATGGTTTATAAAATTATGTCAAAAATTGAATGGAACATAAATATAAAGTATGAAGATGTGATGACTATTTTTTAATGTAATTCATGCATTTTACACATCTAAACATTTTTGATAGAATAAAAGCTTCATGGCCTTATAACCTTGAGAAAGGATGTCCTACACTTTTCTTTGTTGAAGCATTGAAATAGCCTAAAAATTTGCATGTTCGATGGCTGGATTTCTGCAGTAAATTTTTTTTTTCTATTTTTAGAATCATCGCAAGAAA